CCCCCCAAAAAAAAAAAATAGCCAGCAAATTTAGTATATGTGTTTGTTATTCCCTCTTCTCAGTCAGATAGGAATTATATAAATATGGTCAGTTTCCGTATGTATACCCCAAGGGCGGATCCAGGGTTCGAGGAAAGGGGGGCTTAAATATCAATAATGGTAAATACATCTCAGAGCGTAGCGAGGCTAAATATTTTTTTAAGATATATATTGCATGGATATCCAATTTTTTAGTCTCCAATGAACCTGATGAAGGCTATTTCAGAAACATTGTAATATTGTTCTTATAAAAATGGGGAGATCGCCAATGAGACAACAATACCAGAATTAAAATGAAGTGACAGTTAACAAATATAGGAAATCGTACAGCCTTCAACAATGAAAAAAAACCTCTTTTTTTAAAAGGAATCCAGGACCTCCAGATATTTAAAGGGCAACATTAAAAGATAGAAATTAAATGCAACTAGCTGCATATTTCCTAAAAATGTTATCTTCATTGAACCTCGAGGATAAAATATTTGGGGTCTAAAACCTAAAAATTACGTTGAAGACCCATTACAATAAATATCGAAGGAGGGAAAGGGTAATCAAAGGAGAAATAAAAAATGATAATCAATTGCAGCTTAGCGTGGGCACATTCGAAACTGATCAACCGTATTTTACAAACTAGAAAACTATAATAAATGATTGATTTTTATGGATTGAAAACTGAAGTTAAAGCATTATCGGTTTAAACTAATATCATTTTAGCACGAAAATGGTAACTAGTCGAGTGGTATTACTTCAAAGCACTTAGCTTACTAAGGCAGAGCCAGTAAGAAAAGGCAAAAGGAGGTTGAAACATTCCATTTTTAATATAAAAAGAACAGACAGATGCAGCTAAATTCACGCTTTTAAGAAGGTTCGGTCGTTCGTTGGTTTAGCTCCACATTTGACTACTATTGTTGCCTCAGTGGGATTTGAACTCAAGGTGTTGAGACATAAACTGCAGTGTCGCCTTGAAGCCCTGGAATATTTTCAGCGCTCTACATCACTTGGCCAAAGATAGGCTATGAAAATACAGCTCTCGCGATGCCTTTCCTCGACGGCTGAATACAGGATTGTTACCACAATACATGGTTTATAGTGGCTTTGAGATGGTATATCAGTGTAGTTCATCTTTTTCAGTCTATCTTTTTACGATACCAGTCTTCGATTTATTCGCAGCTGTATATAAACTTGCGCTGATGCGGCGTAAAGCATACAACAATCGATCAATAAATATGCAAAATATATTCTACGCCGGAAAGATTTTAATTAGATAATATAACTCTTTGTACTGTCTTTGCGTTGGTGTCTCATAAATTTAACTTCGAATCCCGCTGAGGGGACGCTATAAAAATGCAGCTCTATCATTGAGTGCCGGAATTCAATATACACAGTATATAAACGTTGAACGACCATGTATATTTTGACTCGCCTATCCAATTGCGAAAATAATGTGCAGAGTTGTCGCGAGTAAAATATATATACATAACAACAACAAAAAAGTTAACAGAACATTATCAAGTAATAAAGTGAAATAACAATGTCAAATTTTGTCAAATTTTGGACTGAAAACTGTACTATCGAGACTGCATCACATCTCTGTCTCAGTCAGAAAATAATCAATAGTATCCCTATGATGGTCGATTGATTAGCAATCGTTTAGTTTAATTAAAAAAATAAATACAGAAGTCATCCTTTTGACTCGAGCAATATCATTTTTAATCGTGCTCTTTTAAACGTCAGCATGGCACTGTCAATTACAACGATAAGCAAAAGCATGCATCACAAGGTCATTTTTTCTCTGACGACGTCTTTACACTAAATCCATTGCATGTGGGATGTGTACTGATTGATATTTTAGTCTTAGATACATGATTTTTTTATTAGTTGTTATTGGCTTTGAACTAGCTGTCAGTAACTGCGAGTACTCTCAGATCTGTACTTTAGGTTTTTTTGTTGTTGTTAGGGATGTATAAATACCCTGCCACGTCCGGTCTGTGCTTTTGTTTAGATGTTTTTCTGTTTGTATCGATCTAATGAGTTAAGCCATCTTCAACTGATTTTTATAGTTTGTTCTTATGTTGTGCTGTTACACAACTGTCCCAGGTTAGGGGAGGGTTGAGCGCTCACAAACATGCTTAACCCCGCCACATTCTTTATGTGCCTGTCCCAAGTCAGGAGCCTGTAGTTCAGTGGTTGTCGTTGGTTCATGTCAGTCATATTTGTTTTTCGTAAATTGTTTTGTTATATAGATTTGGCCATTAGCTTTCTCAATTGAATTGTTTTCATATTTTCTCATGTCGGGGCCTTTTATAGCCGACTATACGGTATGGGGTTTTCTCATTGTTGAGGGCCGTACGGTTGCCTATAATTGCTTATACATCTACTTCATTTTAACATTGGTGGATAGTTGTCTCATTGGCAATCATACCACATCTCCATATTTTTGTATTAAAACGGATATAGTATGAACCGTAACTAGTATGTTCTGTTCACGAGAACTTGGCTGGTTCTTCTGCATTAGGGAACGACCATTTGATTTTCGGGGGTGGGGGGTTGGGGTAGGAGGATTTTGAAAATTAATATCCTGACTTGGTAAGAGCTGATAGCAAATATGCATACGTAGCAACAGATGAAACTGATTAGTAAAATCCCCCCCCCTCCCCCAACCCCACCCCGGATATCAAATGGTCGTCACCTTACGTTTTTTTTCCTTTATTTATCCTGTTGTTTCATGTAAAGGTACACCACAAAGACTTGTGGCGTATCAAAAAGATAACAGAAAGAATATCAAACTGAAGTGATAACTAAACTTTATGGAAAAAAAACACAGAAGATGGAAAATGGAATTCCATGCCATAAAGGCCATAAAGGCCCGTGTTTTGTGTAGAGATTATTTTGTTTTGCTGGTCAGGCTGTTTGATTACATGCAGTCAATATTGATTGCTGTTTTGCTTATAAAATATGGATATTCATTGTTATTAAGTCTTTATTCCTGAATATTGCATGAATTTACTGTATTCGGTGTTTTTATTTAAACATCAAAACAATTAAATTCGAGTTGTCGAGTTCTTCTTCTCTTCTTTAGGTAAGGAAAACCATCAACATTTTGAACTGTACATTTTGAGGGTTACCTTCCGGCGCATGCCTGTGTGAGGTTGCTTTAAGTTGTCAGATATACAAAAATAACTGAACACGTGAAAATCAGTTTTTCCGAATCTTCATGCTTATCTTTTATAAACATTTTTTTTTCTATTTCTCTTTTGTATGAAAATAAGTTGGAAGGATTAATTTAAAGCTTATAGAGCATGTGGGTCCAATAAAGAAAATTACTGTTAAGAAACAGAGAGACTCAAAATTATACATATAAGTGAATATTCAATTTCATTAATTTGATTAATTACCATCATCAAATTTATGACATGAAATGTTTGCTCTGCAGTCATGTCACAACGGCTGGTCCTTTAAAACAAATGTTTTTAGATTTTGGCGTGGGTGGTTGTTAACATGTATTTTATGAAGAAATTAATGAATTTAGATTGCATGAATCTGCATCAAACGATATAATAATAATAAATTTTGTGTGAATCATATATTTTGTTATATATCCTTCTAGCAGGGGCGAAAATGTTTTATATTCATTAATAATTTCTTTGCTTAGTTAAATATTATAAGAAAAAAAATAATAATCTTTATCATTGTTGTTTATGACTTGAAATGTTGTCATGAATAAAAAACTAGTTTAGTAAATTTATTTTTTGACCTAATGTTATCACAAGCGCTGAGTAATTCTTGCGAGTTGACAATCGTTGCTTGAATTGGATTATCCGGAAAACAAACAGCTTTTTAGATTAGCACGTTTGAGTTAATGTCATCTAAGTTTGTAATCAAATAAGAAAGGTTCTTTCACAAAACTCAATTGTTTGACATTCTTCAGAAATAATAACTAATAATTATGTCACATCCGACAATTAAAAAACATATAAACCCTGAGGATATTTTCACACTAGAATATCATTTATCTAAAAATCAATAATTGTTCATTAAATAATCATTTGTAGTCTTAAAGTCTTGGAAATGTAATTAAGGCGCATCTTTGTCGGTAAAAAGAGCTCTGCCGTTCTTTAATCTAATTATAAATAAAGTTTTAAAGATAGGCCGTTATTTTAGCACTTGCTGACAAAACATTCATATTCCACATAGCAAAGGGTAATTTCAGTAAGTTAAAATTCATTTCAATTAATTAGGAAAACCATCTGAGACCAAATTTTAAAAGCAAGGTGTGTTTAATGGGTAACTATGGATGAGGAAGAAAGTCCCTTTAAAAGAACAGAAATCTTATATGTAAGGCATTAGATTAAACATGCAATATGAAAATTAATATCATAACTAATATTAACATTAACTTGACATGCGATCCCCTGCACTTGCAAATAATGTAATAACTATTTCTTCGTTTAAAACTCCAGGATAAATTGAGACTAAAACGACCAAACAAACATACCATTATTTATGCCTTGGTAAAAAGTTTTAATTAAAAAAAATGAAATTACATAATTCAAACCATTTAGTAAGAATAATATTTATATATAAATATCATTTATTTTGTAACGACAATTCCGCTAATATATTTGTCGCTATGAAAATGCCTAAAGGTTTTAATTATACAAATTTATCATACTATCGCATGTAATTTCTTTTGTTTGTTTACTTACTTAAAAATATTTAAATTATTATATAATTGTAGATTTTAAATAATGTCCAATATACCATTTGTTTATTTAAACAATCATCAGATGTTATAACGAAGAACCTGCGCATTGAAAGTCACTCAGCTATTACATTTTACAGATTTACTCATCTCATGTTCCCGAATCTCTTTATTTCAAAACCAATCAAAAACGTTGTTTCTATTTTATTATCATAATCTTCAATGTATCGATAATCATATTTTCTGACATGCGCAAATGAGATGCAGTAATCAGAAAAATAACTAGAGAAACTTTGTCATTTGTTTCTTACTTTTCTTAAAGAATGTCACGGCGTAAACAGACAAAGCCGAGACATATCGAAACGGAATCTGAAATTGCCTCCTTAATCCAGAATGGTAAGTTCATTGATAAAAAGGGAATACACACGAGAAAAGACGGAATACACAACTTGTTTCAAATGACAGGTGATCGGAGTGATTACATTTCATCCAGATTCCTTAGGGAGGTTTAAATTCAACTTGGGTCAATAATTTAATTTCATTTGGAAGCAAGCAAGCGAACGGTAATGTATTACATTTAGTTTTCTTTATTTACAAATAATCCTTTATTGCGGCTTGTTTACCTATTTTAAAAAGTCCGCGAAATTTACACCCGACTTGGTCTTAGCACGTGGGGATTAGCAGACTACATTCATCGAGAGCTCAGCGAACGGTAAAGTAGTATTTTGTTATTTCTTAATTATAGGTGATAAGCTTAATTAATTGTGGTTAATAATTATCAGTATTATTACAATAATTATTTTAACAGGACTGTATATATGGTTTTATGTTTAAGTTATATTAGACAAGTTCGGAAGAAAAAAAAAAAAACGGAGATTTTAGTTTTTTTTAAAAACTCTTTGAAACTTTAAGATGACGGGACAATGTTTATTTAATATTTGATTGAAATATATTTAGTACTTTCACTTAATATTTACTATTGACTAGGCATGCTTAGGTAACTGTCTTACATGGGAATGCATTAATCTCTTTATAGAATTATACAAATTTATAAAGCAATTGTTGATAAAAGGAATATTAATATTTATTGATACAGTGTCTCGTTTAATGTAGCATATACAAACATTTGATATTAGGTACAAATATTAAGATTTTCTTTTCATTTGATAAGAAATTAAGCAAATCATGCACAATTTTGCTTTTCATCTGTATTTTATATGAACGGTAGTATTTATAATTACTTGAAAACTAGACATAAAAAAGGAGTAAGTTTGCTAGTATTGAACCTGTATGAAAAAGTTACAATATTGATTTAGCTTAATACAGAACACCTGAAATATTAAAAACCTTTTGTATAAGATTGCAAGATTTATGAAATAATAAAAAGATCGTCCCAGTGCTTAAATAAAATTTTGAGTCCTCTTTTCGTGGACTTAAGGATGAAGAAATCATGTTGAATTCAGGGTGAGAAGTATTAAAAATTTAAACAAATGGGTCCTTCAGATTATTATAAATCATAAACTAATTCATATCAATATCCGCTAGGTATGTAATATTTCTAAAGAAAACTAAGAAAATTTGATAACTTTGTATTGAAAGGGAAAATTGATAAGACCATTTAATGCCTCTTCTTAAGAAATTGTGGAGTTTTTCTCAGTGACGACACACTCAGGTTGCTACCTGGATCAAGGAAATTGCTATTTATTTCATTTAGTTATATATTTCATGTAGTAATTGACAATTTTTAGATAAGGGTGTAATTTACCCAAAGGGAAGCATGTCAAACAAGCAAATCCAACAAATTCTTTTTGATTATTTCTGTATCTACAGTTCTGAAAGGGGGATAAAAAATGTGAGAAAAGGCCCCAAGGATCATGTTATCTATACAATATAATTAGATATAATTATCATCTAGATGTTATTTACTTTGTAATTGATCTTATACTTGTGAAATGTACAATGTACATAATCTTAAGACATTGTCATTTTCATGAAATAAAATGAAATTGACAAATATATTCTTTTTTATTGTGATTTTTAACATATTTGCATTGAGCAGTGTTACATTGTTGCCAATTTTAATACAAAAATAACAATGTCATACATTTGTGTACACAATTATTCTAAAACATGAACATTGTCATTATTATTTACAATGTGAGCAAGAAAATTTAAGTGATTGGTTCTGAAATATTTTTTTGGGTAATTGGTAAATTTAGACTTGGAATCAATTGTTATTTTATACTTTTGATAATGGAAGTTGGATATTAACAAGTTTTCAAACCAATTTTGTTAGAAATAGATGACAAGCTAAGATAGATATTGAGATGGGCAGTCAGATATGAAATGATAGATATGCGAAATTGACATTTTAGACAGAAAGAAACTATACAAACAGCTGTTTAGCTGATGATTTTCAGAAAAATTTTGACAGACTATTTAGCAACATTTGCTAAATTGGCAGTTCTGAGTTTGTTAAGAAAATCATAACAAAAATGTTGGCATCATGACTCAAACAAATAGATATTTTTTTGTATGCTGATATTATCTGCGTTCTTAAAATAAAAATATTTGTTATTTCAAATCAGCTGTTATGGTTCAAAATAATAAATGTACAAATTGTAAAGATATCTTATGAAGATAGTATGAAAATTTATTGAAATGATAAATGTCAATTTGACTTTCTTTGTTTTTTTAATCACATATTTGTTTAAAAGAAATGGGAAGAATGAAATTCAAAACATGCTGGGAAAAAAAGAATAAATACTTATGTCACAAATAATGATGCAATTATCATTTTTCATATCATCCCAGTGTAAATAAATAATTTTTCAAAAGTCAGATTCACCTGTCTTTGTTTCTTCAATGGATTTGCAATGTCTGGAAATCCAGTTAGATTTTAATTCCAATTAGGTTTTGTTCAATTTAAAATTGAAGTCTAATTTATTTAAGATCTTAAAGTGCAGAATCATTGCCAAATGAATCAGGGGCTACACAGACAAGTCATGATTTCATTTCTGTTGCATTTTGCAAACAAAGCCACCAGCAACAAAAGGAGTTAAAACATAGTGGGATTTAGAAAACATGAGATCATTTACCTATTTCTTTGACCACATGTATATGACTTGAGGTAGTCAAATTGTAGTTGCTATATATTGAAATTCATCCTATAAAATCTTGGAATGGTGTTTGATTTTTTTGAAGATGATACCAAGAAGTATAGACTTCATCCCATTAAATAAATATTTGTAGTTATATATGTGTTTGAAGGGAAAGAATTAAAGGAGGACATTGTATAAAAGTTTACAAAGGAAGTGTTGTAATCTAAGATTAAAAGCATTACAAGGTTGATATCAAAACTTTAATGGAAAATTGCAATATCACATTTTTGACAAATTGAAACAAACTCCAATTAACAGCTCATGGAGCAAAAATTTTGGGCAAGGCATCCGTTTATGAAAATTTATGTAAACAAATCTTAAGATCACTAGGAACAAGCTGATGAAGAAGTCGACATTAATGTACATAATTTTATCTGCCAAAATATTTTGTCTTATGACATTCTGTATATGTTTATAAGTATCGGGACAACTAGTGATAAAAGTAGAAAGTTATCCAAGCAAGTACTGTTGGTATTACCTATATCGTAATGGATACAAATTAGACAATTTGTATGTAGTTTGTAATACTATGATGTTTAAAAGAGTTTTTGATAGGGTTAATTTGTAAGTAAATAGAGAGTGTTTTCTTACTAAGTTTGCATGTATCACAGCTTAGGTAGACACTTTAATAGAAAAATATAACTATTGAAGTTATATCTAAACCCTGTTTTAAGTATGAAAATAGAATAATGGAGATATAGCAATACCATCAGAGTATTGATTGATTTCAACTTTGAGTAGCTTTTTTGTTCTACATGTTTCTTTTAGTATACATTTGTAGTTGCCATATTTATTACACCATTTCTTTATCACAATTTTTTTCTTTGTTTTTTCTTTTTTTTGGGGGGAAAATCCTGAAGTTGAGAAATTGTTTGAATGGCACTCAATTGAAACTGTCAAGTTTTGCATGGTGTTTCCAATCATTTTTGTCAGTAATTACTCAAATCTGAGATAAAAAGTACTTGATAATCTTAATTTGACAATTTATAAGTAAATTTTATAGGACTAAAGTGTGCTTTATAGTCTGAGAAAAATATTTTTGACAGGATATAAAACTGGAAATGTCAATGATTTTGATTCTTAATGACATATGGGTGCATGTTGATTCCTCTTGTTTTTCTAACCTTTTTTTTGAAGTTATGATACCAGTTCGTATTTTATACAATAAATAAAATACAATAACAAAAATACAATTAAGTCCATATTAGCAAGTATAACTAATTCCCCTTTGAAATCATTTACTTTGAAGCAGCTGGAGCCATTTCCAGACAGAAATTAATAATTTGCTACTTTTTCATTGACAGGCCATGGAAAAGGCATAAACTTTTGCAGGTATCCTTGTGTCTAGAAACAGACTGATGGTCGCTGGGTAACTTATGTTTTTATAAGTTTTGATTTATGCTGACAATATTGATATTTACCAAAATAAAATAACTTTTGCATTTGGGTTAACATTTTAACTTTTGTTTGCTCATGAGTTATGTCTGAGCGATAAGATATGATGTTAAGTACATTTTCAATAGCATGGATTGAAAAAATTAATCAACTGAATTTGTCTGCATATATTCATTTAAATGATTGATAGAGAAATTTTAAAACTTTGAAATTAACACTTTAATGGTTTGCTTGTTATTGGATTTCGTTGGTTTTAACTTTTTTCACCACTTTTAATTTATTGCTATTTGATAATTGTTTAAAATTTTGTTCGTTTGTTTAATATCTTCATTTGTATCAATGATATATCAATGAACTAGATGTTAATGGATAGACTATGAGTTTATGTAGATTTTAATTAATTAAATAATACGTATATAGTATAATATAACCATATAAAAAGATACATGTACACATCTCAGATTACGGGTTTTTTATGTGGAAATGGTTATTAATAACTCTTTTTTTTTTTCATTCAACTTTTTAGATGTATTCATTCATTCTTTGTATAGCTCTTTTAATACTCTTAACAATCTTTCTGAGCTTGATATATATCTGCTTTAGTTGCCAGTGATAATAACCTGAACAGTCTGTCCTCAAATGAGAAAACTTTTGCCCTGAATCTCTTTATTAAGCAGACTACGGTAACAAGTGATGGCAACTGGACCTGAAATAGCAATGTCACATTTATAGTGACCAATATTTCATAATTTAAACATTAGATTAAAAACATGACTTTATAACTTTTACTTTTTGTTGAAGCAACAATTTTCTGTACAAACTTTTATGGAAGGGGATTTT